AACAAAATGGCGGCGGTCGCTCGCGCCAAAACTCGCGTCCGGCTGTCAACCATTGAATGATTCTCATTTGAATCTTCTATGCAAAATATACTACGCTATCTTCTTAACAGAAATAAAGATGAGTTTAAAATAATTCATTAATTTAGGTATCTAGTTCAAGAGGCTTAACGATCATTTAGCCGCCAAGCGGTCTGCCTGACTGACGTAGTGGTACCAACATTGACTGATAACTAACTGCCGCCATAAATTTTATTGACCATAGACATACCATAGATTATATATAATTGCTCATAGCGGTTACATCTTTAATGCTACAATATTAAAGTATACTAAAAGAAGGCCCTTATTGACTAGTTAATTAATATGACTTTTGTTTTATTTTAGGTTATGTGAATTTAGGACGTATGATGTATTCACTGTTTATTTCTCATCTTTACATCCGGAAATTTTAATTCGTGTTAATTAACTCTATCAACAAGGGCGATAAGTCCAGTCAACGTTGACCAAAAACATAACCTCAACCACAATACTTGTGACATTTCTATAAATAACGCCATGGTTAAAGGTCTAATAATATTAATTAACTTAATGACAAAGTTTAAGGACATTTATGACGCAAAATGATTGTAAGATCTGACGTCAATGAGATTTTAGGATGTTTGTTATTTATACATTTTCTCCCAAATTTTCTGGGTTTCCGCAACACACTACAACGTCTTACATTTATAATTCTCTTTAGAGTAAAATGAATATAGTAAAATGACAGCAAGGAGGTAAGTTTTTACGGGACATTTTTAACACTTCTGTCCATATTAGTAATAACGGAGGACAGAAGTGTAGTGTGTCAGCCAGACCGACGAAGTTTGTGTACGTGGACTGCTATGATGCTGAATCAAAGCAATGTGCAGCAATCACTAGGCTCGTAATAAAGCGTAAGATAACAAACTCGAACGTTTCCTAACGAATCGACGACCGAACGTTGATAACGAAGTCCCTAGTGATGTGTGCATTCTATCGATATTTATTAAATAGTTATAGTGCCTTTAAGCTCACAATTGCACATAAAACATTGTATAGAACACTGTTTTATCTTTCGCATGATGTAAAGGGATTCAGAGATCGGGCTCATACCTACATACCTTACTCATGTATCATAGATAGCCCATCTCTTAGGGATATGCTGCTAAATAAATCAAGAAAGTTTGAATCTAAAAACAAAATTATCTTAGAAAGTATGAAAGCGTGAAGATGTATGTTCTAAAAACGTCTTTAATTATCTTTAAGTTCTCTATTAGCGGTCATTAGTATTCTAAACATGTCAATACGTTACCGTATTTGGTTCGATTATCGACAAGTGTCGGCCACCCGCACATCACTACAACAATGCGTATCATTATGTCGCTTGCTCCGCCACAATTGTCGGTGTGTCACAGCCAATGTGTCCTGTGCGATTTATTAAACAGTTTTTCCCTCTGGACAATTACCTCGTTTAATATATTTATAACTTTAGTTTGCGGTAAGCGATGCTCGCGTCGTGTAGTTGTTTTAATTTAATTATGTGAAAGAAAAAATGTGATAGTGCAAAGTGCTACTAGGAAGTGATAATGTTCAAAGTGAAAAGGGAAAGGACTTGGTTTGGGCGGGTAATTGTTTTTTATCTGGCAACATTATTAAGTGACATTACGTCAAAAGTTTGCAGTTCATATTTTGTTGGCAATTGCAAGGCGTTCGTGTGGTTATGTTCCGCTCAAAGTTAGAACCTTTAAAATTAGGTTCAAAACCTAAACTAAAATGGCGGAATTTATTGTTTTTAAATGTTTATATTCAAATGAGTAATACAGTGCCCATCATGCTTGCACTCACACCTAATTATATTACTCATTTAACCATTATTATTAATATTTCTCCTTTTATTTATCCTTCATAATAACAAAACAACACTAAATCTAAAACCTCATAATATTATTTAATTTAATTAATCATAATTTGTTACATCTGTCAAATATGTCAAACTAGTTTTGTCATTTTTAAAGCTAGCAACATTCTTGGTAAACTAAGAGAGAC